CGACGACGACGACGACTACTATTAACTATTATTGCGATGGCGACGACGAAGCAGCGGCGACGGCTGCTCTTGCCTCTAGTACTGCAAAAGCTGCTTTTGGCGCCCGTACTGAGCCAGCAATCGAAGATACCCGCAACATCAACAGTTGCAATAGTAATGACGACAATGCTGATAGCACTGGGAATCCGATAATCATGATGCTGCTAGTGCCTGCAACTGCTATGCCTGCTGCTCATACTTGTCCTCGCATCGCAGTTGGGAGACCGAGGTGTACGAGTGCGAGTCACTGATAAAGACTTTTCCAGTTCGGGGTCTCGGGACTGAACCTGAGTTCGAATAACAATAAGAGTAAGAATCTAGTGTTGGCGATTTGGGGCATGTTCTGGTACACAGGTTTGATACATATATTTATGGACTATGAGGGAATCAGGGAATCATTCCCGGAATCATCCCAATCCTTGCTTTGTCTTGCTCGTCGTGGCAAGTCGCAATCAGGACGGGAGGGGGCAGAAGGCAGAAGTCGTCTACTCCCTAGATTCTCCAAGACTCCTGATGTTGAATGCCAGGTGCCTTGGCCACGAGATGTGTGCTGACAACCGGCGTTGCTTAGCCGAGGCACGGAGCAAAAAAAACAGCATGATCTAGAAGCTTGGGCAAAAAAGCCTAGGCATGAAGGTGTGAGGATTTAAGTTGCTCCAGTACAGCACATGATCCTGTACGGTGCTCTGCGATGCAAGCCCTTGTCTGTAACCGAGCCACCCAGTAGCATGTGCAATGGTTTCCTTGGCTGCCGAATCTGCGCAGGAATCTGCACCGGAGAAAGCTCCGTGGAAGTGTTTCAATATCCTGCTGCAAAAGCTTCACACCGGGGTGCCAGTGCAGGCACTGCACCGGTCATCTGTAGGACGGTGCGAATCGGCACGTCGACTAGCCACTCGGCAGCAAGTGTTATTCCCGGCCACACAGAAATCGCATCTGCCACATGTCTACATAAGCATACAAATCACAATTCGAAAGCCAGATGTCCCATGCAACAGCTACAAAAAGACCAACGACCCGACAAGATTTTACGTGCTTGCTAAGCCGAGCGACTTGCAATCCGGCAAAAGTCTCCTTGCTTGGGCATTGGTGCAACCTGCAGCCTGTGCTAAGAGACGCAACTGCCCCCCTGAACCCTAATCCGTAGTACCGGCAGTTCACCTACTGTTTCAACGCCGCTTGCCTCTGGTTTCGATCGGTTCCTTGGTACCGGCAATGACAAGCCTCGTTATGCTCACCCCTTGCCCGCATGCTGCTAGAATACAGACTTGCGAGACTGCGATTCAACCGGTAGTGGACATTGGCCGCGGTGCTTAGTTGCATAATTTGTTTTCGAAAGGATGCCCCAAAGCCCTTCTTCACACGAGTAAACCACATTCACGAAAAAAGAGTGGAGCATTGCTGTAATTCCCTCCATGAGAGAACCCTACCAGACTGGCGAAATCAAGAAATGAGGCTTCAACTTCGAGATCAACACATGCGCCCTCGCAGGGATGAGAAAAGCTGCTTCAAACATTGATAGCCATTAGAGGACCAACGTGTTAGGCAGCGCGAAACAAAAGCCATCCCTGCCCAAGCGTTAAGCAACACACTATCTACTTCTCTGTATGTGATATTGCATACTTTTCTGTGTGTAAATTGTAAACACACACAACTTGTTGAATAATGAAAATATCTACATATTTTATTGTAATATTTATCCAGATTGCTACAACTAGTATTAGATGCATCGTTTTCATTACTGTTATTCGTAATTAGTAATAGTATTTTGTGGTACAATCACGGCTGTTGTCATTCGTGTTAGGACTAGAGCTGTCACTCTTAGTGCCGGTGTGATCATCCGCAGGTCCTGGCTGGGATGGCCCTTCCAGCACGACATGCCAGCTCCAGCCAAGTTCGTTGCTGTGATCTCGGCCGTTCCATCAGCCGACCAGGTCAGTGATAATTGAGCCTGTAGGTCATGCGTCTCTGCGGGAGCAAGAGGCTCCGGAGTCTCTAATACTCTGACATGCAGGATGCGCCGGACATGCCCGCTGGCCGCTAGCCAGTAAATGACGTACACAGGTAGATGCACGGGTATACGAAACACACTACCCAGTACCAGGCACCCGGAAGCTCTGCTACGGAACATGATGCCTGAAAGTACTGGGCCACAAGGCCGACAAAGACAACAGAAGGCAAGAACAACAGATGCAACTTAGGGTTTAGGGCTTTTTCTTTGGAGGCCCCGTCAAAAACCAGCAAAAGTAGAGGACTCGGTTCTTGCGTCTTGTCTTATCAATGTCAAAGTGCTCCAAGGAGAACGCCCGAATGGGCTGAGGCAGTAGACCGAGTGGTTGCGGCAGATTCAAGATGCTTTTGAGATTCTGCCGGCGGCACTGGTAACTCACTAGACTAGACAGCCGTGAGCACACAAATCTGTCTAAAGACCCTTGGATACATGTCGAACGCTCACTCTCGTTGGACCAGATCAGATCAGATCAAGAATCCCTGGAATCAACTTCCCAAACCTTCAGTTTGGAACAAGCATGCGATTCCCAAGCATGTTTCAGCGTTTCCCAGATGCAGCCATGTGAGCCGTTATGAAGGCTTTGAGGCCCATCTCCATCCAAATCAGTACACTGCAGCTCCTCCATTCGACAGCACTAGCAGCTAACTAGCACTGCCATCGCCACGCGGGTCGGAAACGTCGACTCAACCGAGGTATACAACTACCAAGGAGAATAGCCTACTGCCCAAGTTCAATGAATCACAGCAAACACAATAGCGTGCGCACAAAGTCCCTACTTGGACGCTGACTTCTGCTCACAGGCACCCTCTGTCACAGTGGTGACAGGGCTGAGTCTGCACACAGCAACCTCTCCAAAAATCACACTGGCTCCTCCACGTCAACCGCCCGTGAGGCGGGTCTTGCTGCTGACAGTTGTACCGCTGATCTAACCTCGGGATGTGGCATCGCCCCGTCTGCATGACACGCAGTTTTGTGGTGATTTGCACGACATCTTGTTATATGTTGTATCTGTATAATGATATATGCCTTATAGTATGCATTGTATCATTATGTGCTATGCGTTATGCATTATGCTATATATTGAATATTCTATGATACGTATTAGGCTGCAAAACATATGATCTAGCATGGTAAAGAGTATACACTATGTGTAAACTGTCATAACAGATGTTTATTCATGATGTTAAGTCATGTTGTGTTATGTTACAAAAAAATAAAATATAGTATTATCATATACATACATACATACATACATACATACATACATACATACATACATACATACATATTGCACTAGATCATATGTCACATATTGCATGGTGATATATTATGGTATACTATGTTGTGCTATGTTCTGCTATATTATATTGTTATCTAGTCCATTTTATTTTGTTGTATTGTATTCTATTATATCATATATTGTATACTGCGATACTCTGTTGTAACCTAATACCTTACCATGTATTATATGTTCTGATGTTGTCTTAATTTATATGACTGTATATTATATCATATATGCTATGTGTTGCATCTTGTAGTTATGTTATACTTCATAGTATATATATAGATAGGACATTATGTCATGAATTATATATCATATACTATATGATATAGACTAGACTCTATAATATGTAACAATATAATGCATCTTCCGAAATATGTTTTCTATTCGATATAACATCAAAACATATATTCAATATAAACTACTCAAGGGAAATTGACACATATACTGTACATTGCATCAAACGGGTTCTATGTGTATAAAACATAGCATATAACTCGGTATATGTATGTATGTATATATAAACATGTATATTGTTACTATTATTGTTATGCTTGTTATTTTGTCATATTTTGCTATGTTTTGTTATATCTTCTATGTTTTATATACGATGTAACGTATCAGTATGCTATATACTACATGTTCTATATGTTGGAAATGCTTGTTCTACATTAAATAATTACATATTATATCTTGTGCAGAGGGCTTCGCAAACACAGAACCCTTCTGTCTCTCATCCTTGGGAGCAACCTACTCATCCTTGGGAGCAACCTACCGAGGCCGCACGTCTAGCGGACTACTCCGCGGTGCAACCCCCAACCTTGCAGCTGCCATCCTGGACACCGGATTCCAGAAGAACTTTACTTCCAGAACTCCTGATATATATATATATATGTATATATAGAGAGAGAGAGAGAGAGAGAGAGTCATACATTGCAAGAGACTCTGTTCTGGCAGCAAATTATGTATGAAATGCAACAGAGTACACTTAGAAACAATGCACCCGCACCACTCTGAGTCTTCAGCAAAACCAAGTAGACGTCCCCACGCTGGTCGGCCTCTATCTGGAGTCGCTCCTCGCGCGGCAAACTTTTGGGTTAACTTTCCAACTTCTCACGCCCGAAATTCACCCAACTCTAGATGCCTATCCCACCATGACAGCAACATCCAGTCATGAGTGGCGATGCCTACCAAGAACGTGTTTAGTATGGTACCTTTGCAGAGGTTGCTGCTGAACCCGTGCCGCCGTCCACTTCGTTCGTAAGGCTCCCAAGATCCGAAAATGAACCTTGACCCCTCAACCCCTTTAAGCCCTTACGGCCCTTAGCTCTTACACTAAACTCCTCTCTCTCACTCTCGCTCTCTCTCCCTCTCTCCCTCTCTNNGGACTCGAGTCGATCATGCCGCGAAGTGAATCCCGTTTCAACCCTTCAAACGCGCTCTGAAAGAAAACTTGAAACCAAGAACCCGTAGAGGGAGCCTACTAAGGAAGCCCTTCATGAGTTGCCGCAAGGGTGCGACTTCAGCCTGCACCGTCATGGACTGCTTTTGTAGCGGTCCCTGGGTAGCCGCACAAGGGAACCCGAGGAGCCCTTAAGAAATGAAGATGTCTAGCTGAGTTAAGGTTTCGGGCTTAGGGCCTCAGGGTTTTTTCCCTCCTACTTAGCAAGGACGAGCCCGCATTGCAGGGTAAGGTTTAGTTTAGGAATCCGGGATCTAACTTATTTCTGTGCCACAGATGTCGGGATCCTGCAGGGAACCTACCTCCAGCAGTACTAAGGATTCTATCCAATTAAAGGCTTCATGCATATGTTCCTGAATGAAATATATTCCTGAATGAAGGGGCCGAGAAAATTCCGCGAACCCATACTTTCACAAACCCCGTTATTCAGAATATTTCAGAGTTCATCCTCGATGAAAGGCATGTTCATTGTCTAAACTCCCGGAGGCAGAGTTGAGCATTGGCCTCAAAGACTCGGAGTTTCTTGTCTTCGAAGTTTCGGCGCTCAGTGATGTAACGAACGCCACCGAAGTTGATCCATCGGGACGAGTCGACTTTGGGGTAGCAAAAACCAATGTCTCGTTGCCCAGGCTAGGCATGATGCCTAAGTCGAGGCACACGTTGGATGGGCCGTGGGTAACGCTGGATGGGCTGTGAATAGTTTTGCCAACCTGCACCCACACTGAAATCTGAAGCTGTGTGGCTTTTTATCACTTCCTGAAGCCTGAGCACCTGAACATTTCCGCTCCGCGGCGGCAGCCAACCTGTTGCACCTACGGTACCAGAACAATCTACTCAACATGCTCCTTGATCCTCCAACCACTTATCGGTAACTTATCGACATGAACAAAAGCCGTGATCTACATCTCAGGACCGGTCCGACAGCGAGAAGACCGACAGGTTCGGCGGCCTGCGCGACTCTTCGCGGGACGGGGTTGCATCCGACAAAAAAACACAAAGCAACGCTGTAGCAGAGTAGCAGACAAGCACACCACCTGACCTAAAGATCAATCCCGCGGCAGGGTTAATTAGATCAGGAAGCTTCTCGGATCCCTGTGCTCAGAGGATCCAGTGCATCAGATCATCAGAGGGCTTGCCGCGAAGGCTTCTGAGCTGCTGGCGTCTTCCTCGAATCAGCATCGTAACATTAACATATTATATATACATATATATATATATCTCTCTCTCTCTCTCTCTCTGCACACATCTGATTGAAACTCAGAATGGAAAGGCCATAAGCTCAGGGCCTACTTATGCTGATGCATCGGGCGTTCACTCTTCAGTGTCTAGTTGGACTGTGTTTGACTCGGTGCAAAAACCTGATTGCAGTGGCAGCGGTGGCGCGCCTGCCCAGGTTCTGTGCTAAAACTGGGTCAGCATTGGCCGTGGTGGTGCTGGTCGCACGACCACTGTGGTCGTAGTTCGATTCAATGTAGCCTGAGCGGTTTGTTTGGGTCTTGTTGGGTTTAAGGGTGATCTGCTGAGAAGATGTCCCCGATCAGATGGGTGAATCTTTCAGACCTTGGACTTGAAAAAGCTTGGGATTCTGGCATCAACGCAAAAAGGCGACCCTCAACTGTCCGTCTCTGGGCCCTGCACCAGGGGAAGCTCTGGGACTCGAAACCTTGCGTCCTGAACCCTGCAAGACCTCCTTTTTCCTGAAGCCCTGAAGCCCCCTTCAACCCTGTAGGCTTTACGACTTTATCCCCAAAGCACCAAACACTCCACCCGTATCACCAAACTTGACACCTAAACCCTAAACCTAGACTACTAAACACTGCAGGACCGGAGGCTGGTAAGGAAGCGCTTCCACCAGGTTATGTCCGCCACCTCCTGAGCGCGTGGCTGAGAGGCTTCGTAGCAAAGAAGCCTTTCTCTGAAGATTCTACAGCGCTTTTTAGGGCGTTTTCAACAAAGTCGTAAAGGGTTCTATGCGGACTTTATCGGACTCTGCATGGACCAATACACTTTGTCAAACAAAGGTGTAAGTTGCAGGGCGTCCAATTTCTTCCTGAACTGAGGCCTTTGGGATTTTCTGAGTACTGCTCCCTCTTGCCAACTTCAACATCCGGGCTCTATACCGGCAAACGACGACGCCGGAGATGCTGATAAACTACCACGTAGACAAATACACAATCACAGACTGGGAGCCTTGATATTCAACTTGCCTCGTCCCAGCCGACTCGGCTCTTCGTTTGTGCAACAACATCCCAGGCAGACATGCGCCCGCACACGCTTGGGTCGGCGCGCGCTGAACCGAATCTGAATCTGAAGCTCACTGGCTCAGCCCGCCAAGGCAAGCTACCGCTACCGCGACCGACTCGCACTCGACTGGGTCAGACTACATCATGCCGCATTGCCAGGCGGCATCGCCATGCATCCCATGAAGGCATGTCGGTTCGACGTTCACGACCTGGCACGGGACTTCGGCCTCAGATTGCAAGACAATCTTGTCAGTCCAACACTGCAGAAAGGTCAGGGTCTCTCGCGACAGTGGAAGCGTGTAGGACTCAAATGCCAGTTTGCAAGTTTAGGTCGGCAGGGCGGTTGATTGAAACACGGAATCGAAGAACACCTAGCCTTCAAGGGAGCCCTCGATCGAGCCCGTTGTCGGAGAAAGTCAGTCCGATTCCGATCTTCAAGCCGACATCTATACAACACCTAACGGTACATGCCCAACGGCAACTTCCAAACCTTAAACCTAAAGCCGCTGGCCAAATGCCACTTCTTGCAGTTTTGCTGCGGGCGCGAAGAGGGTGCTATTCAAGTGCCGGACCTGGTTTTGGCCCGGAATTTTCGACATTTTAATTGTCGGGACCCAGACAGTTCCTGTGCGGTGTGGAACTGCTGCTTAGCCTCAATAGTATGGCCAGTGTCAGGCCAAATATCCAACCAGCCAAAATCTCTTCTGCAGGACCTCTGCCCTATCTATCGGCGACGGTGCAACTGGTTATATTGTAGAAAACAATTTCGTATGCCATGCGTGCTTCGGGTTCCTGATTATAAGGTGCAGGATACGATGTAGTATACTTGGGTTCTTAGTTCCAACTATAGCGCAGAATCAATACGACCTACCGAAATATTACCGTTGTGGTGATGATGACTATTACACACGATTGTTGTTATTAGTGCACTGCGGATGCGGGCGAGAAGCCAAACTCGCAGGTGCCTCCGCGATGCGGCGACAGGTATCCTGGCCCAGGGCCCGCCGTGAGCAAAGGTCAATGCTGAGTCTGATATAGGGGGCCTGAAGAAGCTAATAAATGGAATGAGGCTTTAGGTATATTGTAACAGAAAACAACTATAATAATAAGGAACCCTAAGGACTAGTTTCTGTAATTATTCAATCACTCGGGCTTCTAGAATGAGCGCTTCTTGTGGTTTTGGTGCCTCCTGCATCGCAGGCTGTCCGGCTGAGTGCCTTTTTTCTAGCAGGCTCTTTCCCTCCCCGCTACAGTCCGAATACAACCACTCTAGAGCCAGGGTTCGAAGATTGAGTTCTTTCAGGGCTTAGGCCTCCTTTGTGGATGCAACCACTGCACCTAAACGAAGCCTGATCTGCACCAGCTCCGAAAAGCTACAGTGCTTAGTAAGTCCATCTTCCGCATCTGCGTTACCACTATACTTCATACTCGGGTCGGGTATCACAGCTCAACCCTCACAAGGTGCATGGCGTGAGAATCACCTCAAAAAAGCAGGTAACAGCAAGTTTTATCGGCTCCTAGCATGTGTGCTCACAATTAGCAGAAGAAAAGAGGTGCCCTGGAACCTATAGCCCAGCTCGACCCGGTCACGGTCTTTGGCAGCACCATAGGATACTATGTGAATATGCCTCTTGCCTGGACCCTTTTTTAAGCACGGACTTGCAGTGGCTGAACCCTGAACCCTAAGACCCTAAGACACTAAAACCCTAAAATTCAAGAGTATTTCATGGATGTCACCTGACATGAGGCACCTCCCATGAGCTGAAGGCACATGCACCCCATCCAAGCCAGCGCGACAGCCTCTGCTCGAAGCAGGTTTAGGGTTTACGCTCTCACAGGGTTTAGGGTTTAGGGCTCGAGGTATCTCGGACTGTCGTCCTCGCTCCTCTGTCTCGCGGACATAGGGGCGGGTCTAGATCCCGAGCACCACTGACACGCCTCTTTGCATGAGCATCGGTGGGCAAAGACAGCGTGGCAGCAGGTAGAGCAGACCACTGTTGTTCGATTTTGCACCCCTTTCAGAGTGCATCTTGATAACTGGCAGGCGAGGGTCGCGAGAATGTGGGGCTTCTGGGTCATAAAGGCCCGGATTAATAGAATCACGGATTTCGACTCAGGTTTGCCTGCGTTGACAGATGACAACCCGCAAGCTTTCTAGTTGCCGGCCTCTCCTTTTTCTCGCTCTCTTTCTCTCCGTGTCTCCTTCTCTCTCTGCTGGAGCCAACTGTCCGCTCAGCTGTAGTACACTTCATGTTGCGGTTGCCCTGGGCGCAGGCGCTCCTGAGTGTCCCGTACCCTCAACTCCTACTAAATTTTGGTTCAGCAAAGAAGCTCTTTGCAAAGCTCGTCCTTAAACTTCTCCTCGCCCCGCTGCAGGCAGTCGCCTTCTCGCGATTCCTGGGGCTACGGGCTCATCTCAAAAGACCTCGGGACCAGAGCACCCCCAGAAGCCAGTGGTGTTCGAGGCCCGTAAGAGTAACACTGCTATAAAATGCTATACAGGTTTGTGCACCTGACTGTTGCGACCTATAAGGACAACGGTATGATAACGTGAGGGTCAGGGAATAATGCAACTACTTCTTTCAACCTTTGTGTCAATTGCCAGGTTCGGAACTTCTCTTCAACCAACAGCAGGAAGCAAAGACTTGTCACCTAGTGCTGATGCACGGCTCAGACTTGTCGTAAACCCCAGGCCAGCAAGTACTGGAAAGGGGAAAACGGCGAAGCTTTCAGTAGTCAGTATTTTGTGCATCAGGAACGTTCAAGCTAAGCACCGCCGAACGCCACAAGACCAATTTAGTAGAACAGTGGAGTCCGCTCCAAACGCAAATCATCCGTGTCTCCTCCTCCTGGTGGGAAGGCGGTCGCTCTGCAGTCCAAGCAAGGTCCTGGTTCGATGCGAAAGCTTTTGCCACACCAAAAGCAGGGATGACACCACCGAGCGCAGCAGCCTCCCCAAAAAAACGCAGCGTTCTGATTCACTGCGTTGCAAGCGCCTGCATCTCTGCCAGCAAAAACTCTGAACTCGAAACTCTTCTGCCTCCTCGGATGGTCGAACCAGCACACGCACTGGTTGAGCGCTCAGCCGAATTAGGTCCCACATGGCTCGACAGGGACTGGGGCCAACCCGAACCGACGAAACACATACAGTGTCACACGGCATGCTGATGGAGTGGCGAACCTACATCGAGCACGGGGCAGTCTCAAGTGATATGTTGGATCAGGGTGGGTTAGGGTGGATCTCAAGGTCAAAGGGTCAAAAAGAGTTTCAAGGTGGATTCTGATTCTGGGCTGAATAGGTGTCATGATGATTGAGGTCAAAGATGCATCCGCTACCTCCCTCGAGAACTGACATGCCTGCACTGTACCACGCATGAAAACGCCTGGAGCCCTGCTGCGGAATTCGGCCGGCGATCATCTTTTAGACCCCTGAGTAGTAAACCCCCCTTACCTTAAAAGAGGTCACAATAGGGGGCCTAAGGGCCTAAAATCTAGCTTGGGAGGGTCACAAGATGCCAAGAGCATCATGGCATGCCTGATGATTTAGGGTTCATCTCCCTATCTCTCTCTCTCTCTCGCCCCTTCTCTCTGCCGTTGAGGGTCTACTTGTGCACGATGGGTTGCGGAAAATTGGAAGACCTATCTGAGGGACCTGTTGTCCATGGATCCCGGCCCGCTTGCTGTAAACACTATGTAGTGGTTCTCCAAGCTTGTGAAGATACTCTATAGCTTCTGGAATCGGCACTGTTTTCCAGGATCTTCTGAGCTACTCATCGCAACGGAAGGATGGGCCGTACAGTGGTTGCTTGGATTGTGGCTTTCTCGGCTCCCACCTGGAGAGGTTGTGGCTTAGGGCTAAGGGCTTGATGGCTACTTCTCAAACTATCTTTGGATCACATAACCCTGGTTAACCATAAACCCCTCGTGCATTAAGCCTTCAAGCGATGTGCCGCATCAGCTCTGAACCCATCTCTCCTCAGTCAGGCACCCGCTGCAGAGATGGGAAATCCCAAATCTTCAGCGTCTTGTCCTCGTTGCGTGCTCTTCTCTCCACCCCGACAGCCAGCCCTCCGGAACCATCTGTACACCGACATGTCAAACATTATTAAACATTAGAGGCCCAAGCTGGGTGCGAGTACTCCTCAGCCAGGCTAACCAAAGCATTCACCAAGCTTGTAAAAACAATTCTCGGGTTTCACTCAACACCTCTCTCCCAAAGCCATTTGCCGCACGATGCCACTTCCTTTGTTTGCATCAGGTTGGCATGTCACTCCTACTCGTGCCAAAGATGCGAAACCTCTGGAAACCGAAACAGTCCAAGCCCTGAACCCCAAACCCTAAACTCTAAACCGCTCCAACGGATCCTCCAAGGCCAAGGGCTGGCTTACTTCGAGGATCAGGGGACGTAGTCATCAGGGCTGCGGCTACAAGGTATAACTCCCGAAACCCTAAACCCTAAACCCGGGTTTAGGGTTTAGGGAAGTTATAACTTACAACTACTAGGTCCCCGGCCCTGAAACCGGAAGTGGGGGGCTTTGGATTTATAGCCGAGACAGCCGGCCCCGAAGCTTGCTCAGCTTCACCCCTCCTGTCAGACTCAATAAGAAGAGAGAGTTTTGGCGCGAAAATGCTAGAATGGCTCACACAAGGAAGCCCAACGAACATTGTTACGAACTCCTCATCATCACTGATCATGTTGATTAAGGCTTCTACTATCACCATGGCATGATGGTCTGAGTCCTTCGATGCTGTGAGCAACCTTCGTGGTGCGTCGAGCCACTTGGCCTGAAACCATGACTTGTTCGTGGGACCCATGGTAACTGCGGACGGTGAGGGGGGACAGGCCCGCTTTCATACTGCCCAGCATTAAAATTATAAATATATATATATATACATACATATGTATATGTATATGTATACATATTCATATGTATATATACTCTACAAAAAATGCAAGCGTGGCTATGAATCTCTAAACATTTACCGAGACTTGGGCATGCTCCGAAGTTTATAGGTGCGCTCGAGCTTCCGGTATCTTCCTGGTTATGTAGCCTCGAGTCTGCGGGCTATGTCGCAACAAAGCATCATTCGCTGCCCTTGGACAGCCTTGCAGCCTACTCCGGACTGGTTGGCACCTTACGCACAGGTTCATCGCAAAAGCTAGCAAATTTCAGCAGCGGCTGGCACGTGTTCATCGCCCCGTTTCCCAAGCAGGGCCCGCGCGGCCGTGACAGCATCTGCATGCGCCTGGCAAGTAGACTCCGAACACAAGTTCAAAATTTAGGAATGTAGGACGCCCGGCACGCTGTGTATTCGTGGTGATCTTGCAGAATGCTGGTTCACCGAGCCGCCCCTGCCACCACTTGAAGCGAGCAAGCTGAAGCAGCTGGTGTGGCAAACTTGTTGGAAACGGATGGCAGCATAACTTGAAGCACTACAGCGACACCCTTGCAACTCACACTCGAAAGACATGGAGACATGCTTCTGCTTCCGAAAGACAAACGTGCCGGGCGTAAAGTTTTGCCATGGTCACGACATGTCGGGCCTGTATCGCATAGCTAGGCTCACCCTGGTCCAGATCGAAGACCACAACCTCGCGACAAAAGTGGGCTTCCTGTCCCGAAGACATCTGAAGACCAACCCACGCTCGACAACCCCAAATTTACCAACCAACTCGCCAGCCATGTGCCCGGCAGAGCCATAAGAGACAATGAAACCTTCAGCTTGGTTTATTCAGCCGCGAACCCTTTCTTTGTCGACAAAACTGTTACACGAGCGAGCTCGGAATTTATCAACATGAGAGCGCCCCTTTAGACTTGGGACGGCAGCCTACGAAGTTGCTGCACCTGGGTCCATACCGATGTGGGAAGTCTAGGTCCCATTCTTGCGAATAGAGGGTCCGGGGTGGCTTCATTGCTTTGGCACTTCAGGCGAATACTCCACCTCAGCGACAAGCTGGAGGTCAAAACGAGCTGCTGCGGTCGCTTGGGTCTACACCTGAAGGCAATGCCCACCTGTGAATTTAGCCGGGGACTTAGCTGAAAGACATAAGCCATGCCCGAGCATGTCCCAACACGGGCATCAGAAAAATGTTGTGAATTACTATCATTGCTATTTATATGTTTGTGATATCAAGTACTACTGTTAACAGTACTTTGCTTGCAACCACGGCACTGCCCCGTTTCCAAAGCCTGCGATGACCTCTCTCGACGAGGCTGCCTTGATTCGGTTTCGAGGGGTCCACCAAAAAAACGCCTAAAACGTCGGGAGGGTTCAATTTTTCCTTCCCACCTAGCAAGGAGGAGGGTTCAAGCAGGGTTCAGGGTTTTGGGTTTAGGATCCTACAATTGGGGGCTTTAAGGGCTTGTTGAGGAGCGATTCTCGAACTGAGATCTGCGTCCCTATGTCTTACTAGCATCCCTGTACCCGAAGAGCCCCACACACCTTCACTCAGTGCTACAATATGCTACAAGTACCTTGAATAAGAAGTTAAGCCCCCGATAGTTGAAGCTGTATTCCCTAATGAAGGGGTAGTGGGCGACTCATGGGATAGAACTCAATTCAATCCTTCATCCTTCAAGTCGGCTGTAATTCATTTTTTGGGTACGAAGATATTCTGATGCCCAGACACCCAGACCAGGGCGGTCGGTGGAGACGACATCTCCGTGATCTGCCCCAGCTTTCGTCCCCAACCTTCAGGCCGCAAAGACTCTCTGTTTCTGTCGACAAAAGCTCCGGGGCAGTGTGTAGATAGAGAGCTTCAACCGGCATCTCCTGGCGCAAACCAAACCACAAATCCATCAAACTCCTGTAGGCAAAACCCGCAATGCACATGACGCTTGACGTTAGGGAAGGAGTCAGCCATGGGGCGCTGGGCCTTTCTAGTTCCATCGCAGCAAGAAATCTCTTTCTGAAGCAGCGCCGCTTCCGCTTTCTTAAACCAAAAAACATGGCACATCTTTACCATCAGCTCGCAGGTTGTCCCGGGGCTGAGTGAAACGGCGGATGCCAGGACCCGGCAGTGCCCACACCACTGTCGACCCCTGCCCCCCAAAGCGCCTAATTACGGCTAGGATCGCTCCCGATGGGATCCACACAAGTCCATGTGAGCTGCGGTTGTTCTTCCTGCTTCTGTGGATTGCGCTCTAGGAAGCCCTTGAGCTGTGCTTCCGCGCGTCAGGCTTTAGCGAGTTTGCGAGATTTTGCTTCTGCAGGTAGGGGCTCAAGTCTTGAGGTGGCTCTTTGTTTGGGCAAACTTCGCATATAGCACTACGTCCACGTTTGACAGTCTGACATTTCTGAAACTATAAACGACGAATTTCAATTTTCATCATGGTGACGAACTTGGTTGAGGGCCTCTGGAGTAGGGAATTTCAGTGCCTTTCGGAGTCCAATCCCAAATGTGGTTTAAGCCATGTGGGGTAGGGAATGTCGGCGGGCTGGAAATCAATCCAAAATTCAGTTTAAAGCCTGTTAAGGCGTCAGGCCTGTGGCGTAAGGGACTTTCGGTGGGCATCCAACTCCAAATCGGTTTGAAGCCATTCAACCCACAATCCGGTTCAAGTTTTTGGGTGGTAGATGAGAATTTCGGCGGGTTTCCAATGCAAAATGGCAAAAATGACGCATGCGAAGGAATGCTTGCCGCCCAAAGTCCATTGCCATGACTACAACCTGAGTCATGAGTACGACTGTGCTTGGGATCACCGTTCACAGGCCGACCTTCTGCGAAGCTTCCGCTATCATCCTGAAAAGTTCTGGAGATGCAGAAGATGATGACAATGAAGAAGAAGACGATGACACTGATGTGCTATTGCTGTTCTCCGGATTACTATTGCAAAGTCTGCAGATGGTCGTGACAAAGCAACGGGACATGGCACAAAGGTATGGATAATGGTAATTATCAATTGTATAGATACGAAAAGCATTGTGGTGATGCTCCCAAGGAAACGGCTTCCGATAAAGATACGGATAATTCTGAAGCTTGCTGGCCTGCCAGGCAAGAAATCAATAGCTTTGACCACATGCAACGAAAGCAACATGTGCAGCCATGCACGTACAGGTCTATGGTCATAGACTGTCATATGAGAAATATACATGAATGCAAGCATGCATTTATTGCTACACGGTCATTCTTTGGGGTTTAGGCCCAGGTCCAGTCCTGATAAACGAACCGCTTAAGAGGCTTAACAAAAACCACAGCTCATGTGGACTCTTCTGCTTGCTTCGGGGCTCCGTTGGACTTGCCCGGTGCATAGCTCACCGGGAGTTTGACTTGATGTCGCGCGCCCAAGCTCGGTACACTGCTCTGCAGAACCT